TAACCAAATTTTATAAAAAAATATTTTTACTAAAGCTTGGAATGTCCTTAAAAATTACCGCAATTTGTGAAGATGTGCTTTTTGATATTTTCGAGAAATTAATTTTTGAATTTTTGATTGCTCGGCTCGGGCCATACGGCTTGTGTCACTTTTTTTAAAAGAATTTTTATCTTGTAAACTATTGGTCATAGAAAAATATGTTTCAGATAAAAATTGAAGAGAATGTATTGAGTTTTAATAATATTTTATTAAAAAATAATTTTTTAAACTTTTTGATAAATTTGTTTAAACAATTATTTTTTAAAGTTGTTTTTTTCATGAAGGGAATAACCAAATTTTATAAAAAAATATTTTTACTAAAGCTTGGAATGTCCTTAAAAATTACCGCAATTTGCAGAGATGTGAGTTTTGATAATTTCGAGAAATTAATTTTTGACTTTTTAATTGAGTTTCGTGGAAGGAAGTTTGAACTGCTTGCGACCGCTGCCAGGCAAGCCGTGTATGGCCCGAGCCGAGCAATCAAAAAGTCAAAAATTAATTTCTTGAAAATATCAAAAAGCACATCTTCACAAATTGCGGTAATTTTTAAGGACATTCCAAGCTTTAATAAAAATATTTTTTTATGAAATTTGGTTATTCCCTTCATGAAAAAAACAACTTTAAAAAATAATTGTTTAAACAAATTTGTCAAAAAGTTTAAAAAGCTATTTTTTAATAATATATTATTAAAATTCAATACAGTCTCTTCAATTTTTACCTAAAAAATTTTTTTCTAGGATAAAAATTACAATATTTACAAGATAAAAATTCCTGAAAAAAGTGACCAAAAAGTTTAATTAACAATATCTTGCAAAATAATTAAAATTTTGCAAAATCCTTGAGTGTACTTTAAAAGCACCCTAAACACAACAAATTAACCGAGTATAAACAAAATCTGGGATTCAAAAGTTCTTCCAACTATGGAACGCCCCAATAACGAATTTCAAGCTAATTCGGACACTTTAAAAAATTCATCCGCCATATTGGATCCGCCATTTTAAATTTTTAAAATCTAACGTCAGGTTCGTTATCATCTACCCTGAGAACCTTCGAATAACAAAGGAGGAGGGTCAATAAGGCCTGTTTTCGGCTCCCTTGAAATTTTCATTTAAATGCTTGCAATACAATTTCCATCAAAGAAAAATGATAATTTTAAAGATTGAAGGATAAATGAGGGTGTTTGGAGTATATTAACCCCTAAACAATAAGGGTTTTGTTTAAAAATTGGGTTAAAAGTAAGGGTAAACAAAATTTTTAATTATGAAATAATTGGCTTGAAACTCGTTACTCGGGGATTTTGGGGGTCGCTTTACGAATATGATGTTAGTTTTCCAAAATTCAAAATGTCGAATCCAAAATGGCGGACGACTTTTTATAAATATGAATTAATTGGCTTGAAAACCGTTACTTGAGGGTTTTTGGAGTCGGTGATTACGAATCTGATGTTAGTTTTTTAAAATTCAAAATAGCGGATCCAAAATGGCGGATGAAATTTAAAAATCTCTTAATTTTATGTGAAACTTGTTACTCGGGGATTTTTGGGGCGCTGATTACGAATTTGGCATCAGATTTTAGAAATTAATTAAAGTCAAAAATTTAAATGAGTTTCAAGCAAATTTGAACATCTTTTAACTTTTGTCGGCCATATTGGATCCGTCATTTTAAATTTTGAAAAACTGATGCCAGATTAGTAATCAGCGATCACAAAAATCCCCGAGTAACAAATTTCAAGTAAATTCGAGTAATTTTAAATTTTGTCTGACATTTTGGAGCCGCAATTTTGAATTTTGAAAGATTAACATCAGATTCGTAATCAGCGACCCCGAAAACCCCCGAGTCACGATTTCCAAGCCAATTAATTCATGATTGAACATTCTTTATTTCAAGCATTCAAATGAAAATTTCAAGTGGGCCGAAAACAGGCCTAAAAAATTCGTCTGCCATATTGGGTCAGCCATTTTGAATTTCTAAAATCTAACATTTAATGAAAGATTTAACCCTAACGGTTGATATATTTCTCATTTTGCTTCCTCATAGAGGAAGTATTATTTTTGCACGGAAAAAAATTAATCTCTAAACTTGAAATAATATTAATTTGAAGTCCAATGAAATATAAGTGTATCTAAATTAAACATTATAGTCACAATTACTGTGATAAGTTGTGTTTGATTCTGTCAAACTTTATACCAGAAAACGCCATAAATTCACATCTCTGATTTAGAGATTTGTTTATTTCACAACTTTTTTTATATGAATTCGGTACATTGTGTTTTAAGTTAATCAGTGTCAAAAAAGATTTAAACCATTTTAATTAATTAAGTATTAATATTTTATTTTCAAATATCCAAATAAAAGCGAAGGTCTGTGAAATTTTAAGGTTACAATTGTCGCCCGACAAAATACGGCACTGACTGATTTAAATGACGTGAAATAGGTAAATAAACATTTTTCAACCACTTTTTCTCTAAACACAGACACTTTTTACAAAATAGGCCAACATACAATGGGTAAGAATCTTCTTAATAACCTAAATTCAAAAGATTGTTTAAATTCATGCAGAAACGCGGTTGTCAAGCGGTTGTAAAATGTAAAATTGGAAATGATTGGAAAGTAATGTAATGACAGACAACAAGAAGCGGATTACTGACAGTCGCCAGAAGAGGGCAGAAGCATGTAGAGAGCACAATGGTCCAGCTGTTATATTCTTAGCATTACATCACTTTCCAATTTTACATTTTACAACCGCGTTTCTGCATGAATTTAAACCATCTTTTGAATTTAGGTAATTAAGAAGATTCCTACTCGTTGTATGTTGGCCTATTTTGTAAAAAGTGTCTGTGTTTAGAGAAAAAGTGGTTGAAAAATGTTTATTTACCTATTTCACGTCATTTAAATCAGTCAGTGTCGTATTTTGTCGGGCGATAATTGTAACCTACAAATTTTACAGACCTTCCAACGCCGTTAAAACAAAAAAATGAAATAAAAATATAAAATTCGTATTGTGTTTTAAAAATATCCAACTACTTTTTTATACTTGTCAATGTATAGTTCATACAGAGAAAACAATATAAATATTTTGTGAATAATTCTCACTCTAAATTGTGATAAATTATAAATTCTTATTACATCGAGTTATTACAAAAATAAGAATTATATAAATATACGACGAAAATTTTTAATATTGTTTATTCAAATTATATATTAGATTTGAATTTATTTAAGTAAGTTGATAGTTTAGAACATATGTTCCACATGTCATAAAATTTGAGATTCCTAATATCATTTTTAGGCATAAGAAATACGTGTTCTTCACAATACTAATATTCGGATTAGATATAATACCAAATTTCAGTTTTAGTGATCTGCTTACATCTTACGTCCGATTCCAGTGATAGGTTATGCCTAAATCTCAGATTTAATCTCTAATTTAGAGATTAATTTTTTTCCGTGTGATTTTAGAAATTTTTGAAATTAGAAAAACTATTTTTACAACTAATACAAATGAACAACCCCCAACAAAGTGTGTGAAAATAAATACAGACATAAAAATATACGAAATTGACCCAGAATTAACAATGGATTCATTATCAACTGGAAAAACGAAAGGGACACTATAAATATAGTATATATATATAAAGTAATGGAGAACGAGAGACGAGGAAAAAAATGGTGTATTACGTTAAGAATACTAATTTTGACCCACATAAATTTACGAATCGATTGTGTATTATAAATGTAAACTAGCCAATTCCAAGTTAGGCGCCAGAATCGAGAAAATGTGTTCAGGATACTTTCTTTATATACAAGGGGCTTTGTATTGATACGAGTCACGTTCATCGATCACTTAAACGTTTTCCAACAACCTATACGTCTTTTCAATGATTGCTTCTGCAATACTAATTATACACCTGTATACAGTTTCTATAGCCGAGTTATTAGGCTTCTTCCATTGAAATATCTTTTGCGAACAGGTGTGAAAAACTAGAATATTGTAAATGTTTTCAGAAAAACAGTCAACTTTGTTTCTTACCTAAAATACTTAGTAATGCAATATACTGTATTTAGTATCGTAATGTTCGTTTTAATTTTACTAAATACATTCTCATAAAACTGACACTAAAAATGCCTGTCTTTATCACGTGCTTCTTCCTGTTTCCGAAATAAATAAAATGTCCTTCCTATACCTAATATCTACTTGTTTCTTAATAAGGATTAGGGTGTCAAATTCCGGACAATTTAAATTTATAATAAAAAAGACGAGAAATAATTTCGACATTTAAAAACACCTCTCTAATTTGCTGGGAATTTTAAATACTTCATACTCTATAACATCATTATTTTATATAAACGCCGTTGGGGCAATAATTTTGAATTTGTTAATCAAGTATATCTTTATTTTTTATGAAGGCTTTTGTCCGTGTTTGCCGAGCCGTAATTCCAACTTGTAACAAATCCGTTAGAATAGCTCTCTCGCTAAAGCTGTTATCGTTGCACTTATGTCTACACTTGTAAACACACAATTAGGAAAAAGATTCATGTTTCGAATTGAATCAAATTTCTAATTGGAAGTCTTCGTGTAAACACATTGAACGGTAGGTTTACGGTATTATTGCTTTCGGCAGACTTACAGAGAACTTGAACTGAGATTTAGTGATTTTTATTTGGTTTTTGGATCCTTTTAGGATCTCCAAAATAATACGGATGATAAAACCAGAAATTTATTTGTTTAATACCTTTTAGAATCCCCAATATAGGGATGTTATAACCACTAATTTATTCGAATAATATTTAATAGAATTATTTTAATATTTATAATGATGTTCCTATGCATTAGGCTTTCGGGATCTTTTGGGAAAAATATAGGAATGCCAAAACCGGAATTTAATATTTAATAGAATTATTCTAATACCTATGATGATGTTCGTATTTATTAGTTGATAAAAAGTTTATCGTTTTTTCAGAGAAAGACTATGATGCGAGTGATAATAATGTTTTGTTTCGGTCTAACGACCCTGAGGAATTGCTACTCATCAGAAACGGAGCAGAAGGAACATCATCGTCAAAAACGGTTGCTTTGGATAACGAACGATGGAAGGATAGCTCTACCTCCGGGTACTATAATGACTATCACTCCAACATTAGCTTTGCCATTCGTGAGGTACCCTCCTTCTGGATTTTTGAGCAACATGACCATCAGTCTTCCTTTTACCAGTAAGTATTCGAAAAATTTTCCATTAACCTATTTTAAGGGTTGACCTAAGTTTTTTTAATCTCCACTTGGCTTAGTTGACATATCGACTTTTCCAGCTGCCTTTCTTCCGGAAAAGAATTTTTATCACTAAATATTAACAATTTAGACTTAGAAGCTACGAATTTTGATCAAAACGATGAACTGCTGAGGTTGCGATTCCTCATCAGCTGAACAAATCAATGAGCCTTTCCTGTTGTGTTTTTGTTACGTGATTTCTACATCTTAAATATATTAGAGGATAATAGAGAAGAATCTAGGGAACCATTATAAATTTAACATTTGGATTAAACAAACAAAAATTTGTAAGAAAAATTTAAGAATTGGGGTCCTGTTCCTTACTGTTACTTTCCTGAAAAGTTTGTTGAGGAAGTAGACGACAAATGAAGATCGTTTCTAGGACGACATATGTAAACAAGCATAAAAAATCCCTGAGGTTAAGTTTTTTTTGTAAAATTGTCTTTTCTTGTTTTCAAAGAAACAGTTTCTCAGTGTTCATTTTGTAAAATTGTCTTTTCTTGTTTTCAAAGAAACACTTTCTCAAAGTATTCTTTTTGTAAAATTGTCTTTTCTTGTTTTCAAAGAAACACTTTCTCAAAATGATTTTACAATTTTCTGTTAATACCCAAATGTAATTATTGTAACTACCATTTTTGGTAGCTGTCGTCAATAATTAATAAAAAGCATAAAAAATCTCTGAGGCTCAGTTTTTTTTGTAAAATTGTCTTTTCTTGTTTTCAAAGAAACACTTTCTCAAAGTGGTTTTTCAATTTTATGTTTATAACGAACTGTTAATTATTGTAAATAGCACGTTTTTGTAACTGTCGACAATAATTAATTTCTCGTATAGTGCAATAAACGTTTTAACCTGCTTTAGAAAAAAGCCTTTTCATTATACTTGTAGTTATCGATACCCAACGAACGATTCGATTCTCCACATGTCAGAATCAACTTTAGGAAGTCGAGAATAGAATCGATTTATCATCACCAAAGTCAATATCTTCTAAATTACGATTTCGTTTCCAGTTGATTTCGACAAACTGGGATTGACGGACAATGAAAATCCTTATGGCGCGTTACCAACAGTCTTCGACAGAGCCATGAAGAGTCGACAAGCCGGAAGAATGATGGCAGATTTTATTGCCACTTTCATTAAACGACGATTTCATAAACGAGAAGCCCTCCAAGTGCCAAAGAACGCGTTCCATGGGGGAGAAAGGGCTCTTCTATACGGTACCGCTGAAGATATGCTAAGTACACTAGGTCTCGATGGAAAAGCCTGTCTTCTTCGGGCAATCTGCGAAGTTCAAGGTCATCCTTTCGACAATTTTGGACTCGTTGGCGAAATGTTGAAATTATTTTTCACGTGAGTATAAAAAAATTGTATACCCATCAATATAATTGTATTTCCCAGTATAATATTCAGATTTCTTTTTTTTCTTCCCAGAGCCAGCAAATCACCTTTTGCCAGTATACTTCACGAATACGTCGAGGCAGAAAATCGAGGAAAAATTGATGGAGAATGCTGGCCTTACTTTAAGGATTGTCCAAAATCATTGTTCCTACCAGCGGAAAACAAATACACGTTCGTATTCACTTTTTTCCATTTCCCCTGGAAATAATTTTTTTCAAAGAAATCTCTACTTTTAAAAAATGCATTTTTTTATAGAATTCCTTTTTTACAGAGAAAACGCGACTCAAGATGGCAAAGATCATGATTCAGAGGGGCTAGCGAATGAAATTTACAGCAACGATGAAGAAAGAAGAGAGGAGTTGAAAGTAATGAAGAGGCCGGATGTACAAAGTACAAATTACGCTCATCCGTCGATGTAAATATTGACAAAAAATTAGTTTTCAATTCGAGTGATACACCAGTGATATCAAAGTGTGACAATTTAAATTGATTTGTTAAAGGTGAAGTGAATTTTTTTTATAGTATGAATTTCATATTTTATAGCGAAACTGCATTATAGTTTTTAAATCGACTTGAGAGGAGGAGAGAATATTTAAAGTAGAGGATGATGGGGAGTTGTGAAATATACGTCAATATATCATCCGTTATACACGGAATATGAGGCTGAAGAACGCGACGTTTTCAAAAAAAGAAAAAAACTGTTTCTAAGTCAGGTTGTTTCCAATTTAGATGTATATACACAAAATTTGAAGAAAGTAACCTGGGACATTTTTTCGTATCTCTCAATTTCAGTGAGCGTTGTGACAGCAGCGCTCCTTTCGGAGAAAATAACTACTATTGTAGTTACTAAACGATCGATTAATGAAAGTAACTTAATGCGCTGGTTACGAAAATGATAGTGAAAACTTACAAACAATTTATCTTTATATCAGTTCATTTTTATTACTTGCATAGGCCACATTTTAAAGTGTTGGCAAGTTTGTAGAATCGTCGAAAATACGAGAGAGGTCGAGTAAGTGGAGGGTTTCATGGATCCTTAGAATGATTCACAAAGGACATTCTTCCAACTATTGGTTGGAAATCTGTCCCGACAACAAACGAAACAAAAATACTTTAATAAACTTGATTAAGAAACATGTTGTTGGCCACAAAAACTAAACCGTTGCACTTTATAACATTTTATCACTCGGCCTTTTTCCAGGTTACCAAACCGTTGCATTTTATAACATTTTATCAATCGGCCTTTTTCAAGGTCACCAATCCGTTGCACTTTATAACATTTTATTAATCAGCCTTTTTCAATGCCACCAAATCGTTTTTATTTATATCGGAAAATATTTATTTTCATGAAAAAATGAATAGTACATAAAATCCTTTTAAGTGAAAGTATATTTTAACCAGTTTTTATGATTTTTACATTTTTCTCAAAAACTAATAAATTTTAGCAAAAAATGAAAACAGAATATTGAAACTCACTGTGACGCGCTTTGAAAAATGGTACATAAGAAGAAGAAAAATTTAGATTATATTTGTAATTTTTAGAATCAAAATACACAAAGGGAATCGACTTTAATATAAACAAAGTACTTTTAATTAAAAATATGATTTATTTTTTCCATGTTTCTACTATTTTACTATTCTAACATGTGCTACTTTACTAAATGGTGCGCTTATATAATTGTATTAAAATATATAAAATTTCCCAAATGTTTATAAAATTATCAGCTTTTTTAAGTTATGCTTTCAAATTGAAAATGAATGGTGACAAAAATTAAACAAACGATTTTCACTTTTCTTAAAGTAAACGAAGTATTTAAAGAATGTTCTCAATCTAATATTCGTCTCACAACTCTCTATTGTCGCTTAAGATTTAATATCGTTACCGATAATTTAAGCGGGACTTAAAAAAATATTTCCTTTTGTAACTATAATTTATTGGTTTAGAAACTGCGAAGATGTTAATTGTAAATAATTTTGTTGTTTGTAAATTTTAAAAATAGTTTTCTATTAATTTTTTAATAAATTATTAAATTATTTATTTATTTTATCATACAATAGGTAGTTTATATATTTAAAAAAGTAAATACTTTCTAAGAGTTGAAAAAGACAAAAGAATATTCCCCAGTAGCACGTAATATTACAGCAATATTGAGAACACTGCCTTAACATTACCAATATTGCCTCAATGTTGTCAATGTTACTGGAACATTACGTGCTACTGGAGTTCTTTTTCAATTTTCAAAGAAATTATTACAATTCGATCAAAATGTAAAAATTAATTTTTAATGTTATATATTATAGGTAAATATTATTATAACATAATCGCCATATTAGAATCAAATATATTTAAATATTACCTATTTCTAATTTAGGACAAATTTTATTTGTGTATAATTTTTAAACTTTGTAGATAATATATGAAATTATTATTCTTATTAAATAAATTGTCTTTCATTTATTACTTGTTAATAATTTTTTTTATTGTAGTGCTTTTAAGTTGAGTTATATTTTAAATTTTCCAGCGTTTGCCGCCACTTAAGTCTAAAAATTTATAATGTATTTATTATATATTAACATTAAATGTTTCATTAGCGTTGAGAAGTTACCCAGATAACAATCGTGCGTCGCATTTAAACGCATGTTTCTTGCACTAACTGCGACTTACCAGATGAGTCGGTTCATATACGCATCTTACTATCGTCTGTGACGCTGGTAATAATGCGAGTGTTGTGAACTGCATTTCGTAAGCGCCTGTGATACAAAATGATAAGCATGTTCCGTTCACAAGTGCGACTTGCTAGAAGAGTCAATCCATACGCATTTTACCATCCACAGTGCGAATGCTGTGAATGCGTGTGCAGTGAACTGCACTTAATACGCACGCAATTAATGATGCGCAACCACCCGTATCGGCAATCACACATTTTATAATGGCGACAGCATTGTTTGTGGTGTGTTATCAAAATAAGTTTTTATTGTGATTTCATTTTTTATTGTTTTTTATTGCGATATTATTGTGAGGAATTATTGTGGATTTAATTTTTAGTACTGCAGCAAAATAAGAAAGTTAAATTTAATTTGTTTAAAGTACATATATATTTTTGTTGTATTAGATATAACCTCAAAAAAAGAATTTGGAAGTTTTTAACAATTTCAATTCCAAAATTGTACTGAAATATTAAATTAAAATCGTTTTTATAAATAACATTTTAATTTAAAAAAAATTACTAATGTCAATAATCTTTTCTTTTTATTTAATTCAAATAAGGCTGAAGTATAAATATAATTTATTCGCATTATACCGTCACGCATGTGCCCATCACAATATGCGACAGTTATGGATCGCATATGATGACGCATCTGAGTGGTCCAGTGAACGCGCATAGTGCGGATAAATCGGCACGCGTGCAGATGATATTAGTAGCACACAACGCGCATTTTGTTATCTGGGTAATTAAATTGAACACCAAAAGATACACTAATGTTTAGATATTTAATTTAGGGATAAATATCTAATTTATGTTACTTACTTTTGTATTGATAGAATGTTGCCACTGCTAGGGTGACTTCTTCTTCTTCTTCAATTCCAATAATTTGGAAAATTTTGAGTAAATATGGCTTCGAATTATCAGGCCAATTCAATTCACAATTATCGCGATTATTTATTATTACTAGATCACTGATTTCATTTTCTTTAATTAATTAAGAATCTACGTTTGTAACTTGTCGCTTTTACTATGCAGCACTTTTGACTAATTGGTTTTAAGATTAGGTACGTATTTTTATGTATGAAATCAGGCCCTCCAAGCTCTTCTTCTTCTTCTTCTTAAATGACTTGAGGCTTAGCCAACTGTCAGAACGTAAGCCGTAAGGAGGGTGTGAATTAGAGGTTAGTCGGGATGTAATTCTGCATGAAGTAAATTAATTCGAGACTTATTTCGGTTTAATTTATAAGAAATAATTCTCAATTAAATGTTTTTAAATTTTATTTTTTTTGGGTTTTCGTTTCGCTCGACTGTACTCCAATTGTATAGAATTTATTCAGACAATTTGATTGTCCCAGCAGATAAAACCTCCCAGCTCCCTGACCAGTTCGTCATTGGGGTTAAAAATTAGTTCGACAATTGAGACCTCTCTCGGGTTTATGCCTGGAAATTTTCTAATAAGGTAGTTATAGAAATTAGGTCTATAAAAATTTAATCTAGGGCAGTCATGCAGGATATGAGGCAAAGTCCTCTTCTCTGCACCGCACCTGCAGCCAGCCACCAATTCCCATCCAATCCGCTCAAAATGGTCAGCGGTGTACATATGGAAAAATCTAAGTCGTGTTATGGTGTTAATCCAGTTTCGAGGAAACGAGAGTTCACCATACCAAGGTCTTGTTGTTTTAATTGAGACCCTGGAGAGATATCTGTGGTTGTCGCGGTCAACGTCAGTAAAAGACCATAGATGTTGGGTCCATGATAAGCGATCAGGAATAAGGATGGTTTTGTTAATGTCACTTGAGATATAGCAAATCTAAGTCAATCATATACTTTTTTAATAACAAAAATTTTAATGAATTTTAAACTTTTAACGGGAATGGACTGTTGATAGTCGACTATCAATTGTTATGTATCGATGGTCGATGAACGACAAACAAACCTAATTAATTTACTACAACAAAATTTTTTAAAAAATTTATTATTTAAAATTTACTAACAATAAATTAATAGAAACCCTCTTTCTGAGGCAAGTTTTTTATTTTAAAACATTATTTTACGGATTGCTCTTTGCTCCTGTTGACGAATTATAATCAATATATTCTTTACTCCTAATCATTTAATTAATAAATTAAAAAGGGAGGCAATTGTAACTTACCTTTAACTTTTCATAAATGAATTTTGGCCCTTCCCTGACTTACACAGAAGAGGATGAAATATTTCTAATATTTTAAACTTCTTTTTCTTTTTTGTAGTATAAAATAGAATAAGAAACAAAATATTTTAATAAAACTATTTTAATAACATTTAGAAGCAAAAAAAGTATAGAATACCTGAAATAAATAATGAAAATTATTTCTTGATAATTGGAACTAAAATTATACAATATTTTCCGATTTTACATTCAGGAGAATAATTTTCACATTTTTAATTGTTTAAAGAAATTTTTTTATTCTTTTAATACATAAAATATTCAAGTTTTTATTTCTTTTTCTTATTAAAGAAAAAAATTCTTATTGAAATGAATTGTAGCAGACAAACAAAGATTTAGACAATGTTTTAGACATATTTTTTAGATAAGAATTTTTATATACTTTTTTAAGATATCTTTTTTATATTTTTGATACATTTCTTCTAAAACTTATTTTTTTTAATATTTGAATATATTTTTTTTTAAATATTATACTTGAATAAAATTTTTTAAAAATATTTTCTTCAAAACTTACTTTTACTTTTATTCAAATTTTGCTGCATATACTGCGAGCCTCATTGCTTCAATTTCATAATATTTGTCATAGATCATTTTTCCATATTCTTTTGCAGCTGAACAGTCGTTCGGACGTAATTTAGCATTCCAAATTTCCAGTGGTTGTTTTAAGATTGTGGCTAAAATTGTTGACAAAAATGGATGGTCTTTAGAATTGAGATTGCTAAAATAACCATGGTTGATAATTCTAGCCCATTTGTAACAAATCAGGACCCTAAAGTTTTGAACGTTGCACGGGATGAAATTGTTTAGCAGGAATTACTTTTCCAGTAACCGAAATATATTCTTCTCCCTGCACGGAAAGAAAAAGTCCGTCAACCATTAATGGATTAGTATATTACTTTGAGACGGGACTCTTTTTCCGTTGATGGTTACTTAACTTTACTTAACGATTGAAAACGAGTCATGGATTGATTAGAATGCCAGTATGTGACCAATTGTTTTAGATTTAATGCTGAATTGTTATCAATGGCTGTTTGAATGTTTACGAATCATTAGTGAAAGTTTGTGAAACGTTAGTTGACTCGTATTCTAAATCGGCGCTCTTCACTAGCGCATTGTTGCGCAGTGTACCGATGCGCATTTCTTCCGGTTTCTCTATAGTCCATGTGTTTTTGCTGTCTGCTATACATATCCCTATATACTATTTTATGTGTAATGTGAATATTTAACTTAACTAACAATTTGCAGTTGAATTGCGTCTAGAAATTGACCTCGATGAAAATATATTTTCTTTTATATTTCTCGCTAATTAAAAAGTAGTTATTAGTGCAAAATCATTTCTCACAAGTTGTGAAAAATTTTGTTATTTGGTATATAAGAACAGTTCGCTTCTAAGCTTAAAGTGTTATAAGTGTGCGTTTCTACGTGTAGTTATTATAAGTGCGAAAATGTGTTTGTCTAAAGCGTCTAAGAGTGTAAATAAAATATCGGAACTGTGCAACGAAAAAAATGTGTTCATTCTGTACCAAATAGTGTCTAAAATTAGGGATAATTCTGAAAGAAGTTGAATTTTTTGAATGCTTTTGATAGTCATAGAAAATTTAATATACAGTTTTCTAAATTTTAGTGAACGAGTTTTATATATTGATGACAGTTTTCTAAATTTTAGCAAGCAACTCGTCACTGATTGTGACTCAAAGTATGTTATTATGCATTCAATGATTTTGTGTCCCGTCTCAAAGTAATATACTAGTCTATTAATGATTGACGGACTTTTTCTTTCCGTGTGTTACAGCAAGTAAATACCAAGTGATTTCCACTTGGTTAGATGCGGCGCACTCACACCTAAAAATCACCCCTAATTAATTTTAGTTTATAATTGCCCCAAATTGACATTTTGCGGTGGCTTTTTTTACCCAAAATATTTTTAAAAATTCCCTAAAAATATACCAAGTGATTTCCACTTGGTTAGATGCCGCGCAGTCACCCCCAAAAACCACTCCTAATTAATTTTAGTTTACAAGTGCCCGAAAAAGACATTTTGCCGTGGCTTTTTTTTCCCAAAATATTTTTAAAAATTCCCTAAAAATATACCAAGTGAAGAGCATCTACAAGACCTAAGAAAAAAATTAAATTATACTGAAAAGAAAAAAATTCCATGCAAAACTTTTTTTTCACTGTTCATTCGAGTTTTATCACTCGAAGTTCAAATGTGCGTAACTTCGTTAAATTTATCTTTTTTGAAAATTAAAAAAATACGTGTCCCTTTATTTTTCATGTACAATAACATATTTTAGCGATAGCTAAAACTATAACTTGAAGTTAGGCGACCT